CAAAAAAAGCAAGAAAATGGAGGACCTGCACAACTTCCTGTAGGTAATATACAGCTGAAACTTCAGAGCTCAGAGTTACTTCTGGAGTTTTTCTTCTGGCAGTTTGAAGATTGCAGCCTAGTAACTGTAAAAACTGTAAAAAAAATTGGGTTAAATATATTTAAAAAGTTTTTTAAAAAAACTATTAGGCACTTCTGAGTTCATAGGAAAGGGGAAAACATGACAATTACACTATGTGTGTATATTGAAAAAAAAAAAAAGTAGTTGGCGAATTTAACTTAAGAGCACTGTTGTTAGCAATGGTAGAAGGAATCTAGGAAATATTATTCCCCCCAGAAGATGCCAACTTCAATCCTGTCCTCAAATAATTTTCACAGATTCTGTGTATTATAAAAAATAAGGTTCCAGTTTGTGGTTGTATTTTTATCTTTTAGTTTTTCTTGATAAGCTGGAAGGTTTAATTTTAATGTTTTAAATGAAACATTTTATTTTATAATTTGTAAATTGTTGACCTGACTAGTTCACAAAAATCCTTCCTGACTTAATTTCCTAATGATAAATTTGCAGTTTTATAGTATGAGTTTTTACATTTAACCCACCTGGAAGATGAAGGTTATTAAAATGTGTAATAACCTAATACCAAAAACAAAAGAAAAAAGCCATACACACATACACACACACGAAAACAAAGTACTATGGGGAAGATCCAGGGGAAATTATAGATGTAAAAACACAGATCTGGGATGTTTTCAGATATCACACTTATCAGACAGAATTAAAATGACAATTTTTAACGTAAAAAAAGATAAGCTGAAAACTGTGAGAAAGGGACAAGACTTGGGAAGGAACCAGAGAACTTCTAAGCAATCAACATAATGCTTAAGAAAAGAAGAGAGAACAAAGTGGGTAAGTTTAAAAGCAGATTAGACATAGATGAAGCAAGAATTTGTTCACTAAAAGAACTGAAGAAATTGTCAATAACTAAGTTGAGATATTTAAAAATGGGAAATATGAATAAGAGAATGTAAAATATAAAATATGTGGGAGACAGGGAGGAGAGAGTGGAAAGATGTAATATATATTCAATTGAGGTTCCAAATGGAGGTAACAGACTAAATACAAAAAGAGAATTATTTTCAGGAACTATTAAAAGATGTCCATCAGTACCCAGACACAGTAATTCCAAAGAATTCTGCAAAAGTTAAGTCATGGGAATCCAAAACTAAACCCATCTTAATGAGACTGCAGGGCATCAGAGAAAAAGAGTAATTGATAAATTATAAAAGTGACAGGCTGGGTGCGGTGGCTTACGCCTGTAATCCCAGCACTTAGGGAGGCTGATGGGGGTGGATCACAAGGTCAGGGGTTCAAGACCAGCCTGGCCAATATGGTGAAACCCTGTCTGTACTAAAAATACACAAAATTAGCCGGGTGTGGTGGTGGGTGTCTGTAATCCCAGCTACTCTGGAGGCTGAGGCAGAGAATTGCTTGAACCCAGGAGGCAGAGGTTGCGGTGAACTGAGATGCGCCACTGTACTCCAGCCTGGGTAACAGAGCGAGACTCCATCTCAAAAAAAAAAAAAAATTATAAAAGTGACATTGATCAGTGTGAAAAGGACAAGGTATTCAATAAATGCTTGGGGGACTATTGGCTATTCATGAAGAAAACTAATTGAAATTGCTTTTGTACTTTATGCATCTTTATACAAATCAATTCTTGGTGTGGGGAGGTAAATGTAAAAATTCATATTATAAAACTATAAATTTATCATTAGAAAATTTTGACAAGTAGGGAAGGATTTTTTTGTGAACTCACCAGGTCAAAAATTTGCAAATCATAAAATAAAAGTTTGGAACATTAAAATTAAAACCTTCCTGTTGTTAAGAAGAACTAAAAAATAAAAATACAACCACAAACTAGGAGAGTATTTTTGGGGCACATGTAATCAGTAAGTATCTAGTTAACTTTGTCAGTAATCAAATTAATATAAATTTATAACAGTATCATATAGTATTTCTCCGTACTAGTTTGACACAACTTTGAAAGTCTGACAGTGCCACTGTTTGTGAGGATCTGGAGCAGCAGGAAATCTCACCCATAACTAATGCAAGTGTAAATGGTGCAATTTACTTGGCATTACCTGGTAAAGTTTAACTTCTGCATATCCTACAACCCAGCATTTCCTCTCCTAGATGTTTACACATGTACAAGGGAAGTACTTGTGCACGTGTAGCAAAAGTCACACGCAAGAATAGTTTTTTAATAGTCTCAAATTCTAGCTAATTCAAATATACATCACAGGATAAACTGGGATATATTTATACCTTGGTATACCGTATAGTTGGGAATATGAATGACCTCAGCTACTGACATCAACATGGATCAATGTCAAAAACATAATCTTGAGCAGAAGAATTAAGTCATTAAAAAATGCTGTAGTATTATTCCACTTAACTAAAGTTTAAAACTGGAAAAATGGAAAAAATTCTATTTAAAAATACCTGCACTGATGGCAAAAAGTGTAAAAAAAAAAAGGGAATGATTAACACAAAATTCAAGCTGGTGCTTATGTCTGAGGGAAAGATGATGGGAAGTAAGAGGGTACAATAGGGAAAATAAACATAGTATAAAATGTTTTATTGTATTATTCTTCTTTAATATGCATATATATGTTTATATTCAACCATTTAAAAGTGGAAAGAGAGTTTTCTAACCACTCCTAAAATGGGAAAATATGGAGCATGAAAAATAAAAATCTAGGTGAAGTTCCCTCAGGGCATAATTATTGAGTTATTCAAACATATGAATGGTACTTCTACCACTGCCAGGAAAACAAACAAAAGGAATCCTGTCTCAGATTTGCTGCACACTGCAAATATAGACATTCCAGATTGAACTAATCAGTTCTTAAATTTTCAAGCCTACCAGCTGGGCAGGCTCCTCATTTGGGATTGTTTTTGATGTTGCATTTTCTTTTATGGAGAATATGTTTGTATTGAATTTAGCAATGTCATTACACAGTTAAATTACCCGAGAACAAAACCAGGGAACCGTGTTTTACAGTGTGTTCATCAATATTTTCATTTGTGGGATTTAATATTAGCTCTTTCAGATAGTCTTATTAAATCAGAAGAGGAAGTATCCATAAAGATTTAATAAGAATGCAGAAAGAGAATTCAAAATAATAAACCACCTTAATAATTTTAGCTTCATTACTAATTTATAGTATTTGCATGATTTGAGATTATTTTTCAGAATATTAATTTGATTTTAAATTGCCTTCTAGCTTGGTGCTATGGGAACATTTCCAAGCTTATTGAGATAATCTTTTATTATAAAACTGCTGGCATGTTGTAGTAGAGTTGATATGTGACAGCTTAGTGTTTACCTCAAATTATGTAAGTTTTTAGGTGATTTAAATTACAAGTTATTAAAATTGCAATAATTGACCAAAATGCAAACCAAGTTTTGAAAAGTAAATTGATAATTTGTATATGGTTTTATGAACCTTTGAGGCATCCTGTAATGATGGGAAATAGGAGCCAAAATTGTCATATACAGTTGCCTGAAAATGATTGAGTAATGCTCTTGACTAACTGTAAAACTGCCTGATTTTTTTTAATTTTGAAAAT